GCACCTGTGCCAGCAGCTGCAGGCTGAGCAGGCCGCTGCCGAGAAGCGCCACCGGGAGGAGCTGGAGCAGAGCAAGCAGGCGGCTGGTGGGCTGCGGGCAGAGCTGCTGCGGGCCCAGCGCGAGCTCGGGGAGCTGCTGCCTCTGCGGCAGAAGGTGGCAGAGCAGGAGCGCGTGGCCCAGCAGCTGCGAGCAGAAAAGGCCAGCTATGCGGAGCAGCTGAGCATGCTGAAGAAGGCTCATGGCCTGCTGGCGGAGGAGAACCGCGGGCTGGGCGAGCGAGCCAGCCTCGGCCGGCAGTTTCTGGAAGTGGAGCTGGACCAGGCCCGAGAGAAGTACAGCCAGGAGCTGGCAGCTGTGCGTGCAGATGCTGAGACCCGTCTGGCTGAGATGCAGCGGGAAGCGCAGAGCACTGCCCGGGAGCTGGAGGTGATGACCGCCAAGTACGACGGTGCCAAGGCCAAGGTCCTGGAGGAGAGACAGCGTTTCCAGGAGGAGAGGCAGAAACTCACTGCCCAGGTGAGGTCCTGGCTCAGCCTCACCCCTGGAGAGGCAGGGACATCATCCCTCCAACATTCCCCGGCCTCTGATCCCCACGTGATTCCAGAGTGTCTGGGTGGCAGGAGGAGAGGTGGCTGCTAGTGCAGGTCGTCTGTGGCCCCTGCTGGCCTACAGAAACTCTCAGTAGTCTCCCCTTCCCCGAAGGCTCTGTCTCTGGTGAGGCAGGCTGTGAAAGCCATCAACCCCTTGAGGCACCCTGTCATGAGGAGGCACACTTACAGTGGAGGTCCCAAGAGTCATTGGGGCCTCGAATGAGCCAAGATGGCATTTAAAGAGGCTACTAGACATCTGGTTCCTTGGGGGTAGATCAGAGCCTCGGTGAGGTCAGCCTGGGAGCAGGGCAGGTGCCTTTTGGGCCCCCATCTCACGCTGTCTCCGTTGCTCCCCCATGCACAGGTGGAGCAGCTAGAGTTATTTCAGAGCGAGCAGACTAAGCAGGTAATGCCTGAGGTCCTCGATAAATGCTGGCTGCTTAAGCGGTGACTGGTCTCGGTGCATGACCCCGGCTGCAGCTTGCCTCCGTGGGCTCCTGTTGTGAACTGTTTGTGAAGGGGCAGGGTCACGCCGTGGAACCCAGGCCGTCCCGGAGTGCGGTGTGCTGGGCCCTCTCAGGCCTCGCCCCACCCATCCCAGGTCGGCCTCTCCACCCGTCTGTACTCTCATCGTCTGTCAGGGACGAGGGGTAAGGCAGGCTTCGTCTTTCCCGTACCAGGGCTAGAGACAGCCTGCCCTCGGGACTCCCAGACCTCCCAAGTCCTACTTCCAGTTTGGGTACTTGGCTGTGGGGACTTGTTGCAGTTTGGCCACAGGCCTGGTATAGCACAGCTCCCTTCTTTCCTGCAGAAGCCAGAAAGGTGATGTGCCAGGCGGCCCCCACAGATTAGCAGGGCCGAGAGCTCAGGACCCCTGCCCATCACCCTCTGGGGTTTTTAACCCCCAGCATAAGATAGAGATGTCTGGGAGCAGGAAGGCCAAGGTTGAGAGGAGGTGAGGTCTGACTGCCTCACCCTTACTCTGTGCTGCCCTAGACATTAAAGCTATCAAACTGGCATTTAATGGGTGCCCCCTTCTTCCACCCCCTTTCCTACCCCATCATCTGGGGCCTGCTGAGGAGGTGGGCCCTCCTCTCCTCCCATCCCCTCCTCCAGGGAGCCTGAGATGATGGGGAAGGTCAGATGGAAGAGCAAACAGTTAGCAATGGAGCTCCCGCCTTTTGCCTTCACTGATCGTGCTTGAGCTCCCAGAAAGCCCAGGGGAGCCAGGAGCGTCTGTGGCTGCCATTCGCCCTCTAGTCCCCTTCCTCCCCAAGCCCTTCCTTTCTGTGGGGGTGGGGTGGGTGTGGAATACGTGTGCTGCCCTGCTCTCGTCTTCCCAGCCGCCTGACCCATGCTAATCACAGCCACCACACTGCTAGCGCCAGCCCTAATGGCCTGTGGATATTGGGGAGAGGTCTGAGCAGTTGGGCTTTTGCTCTGGCAGTTTCTTGGGCGGGGGTGGGTAGTCATTGAGTGTGTCTGCTGGTGTTGTAGACTGGGTCCTGTGTTCCTGTCCCGCCGTGGGAAGGTTGGGGCTGGGAATGGTGGCGGTAGGTTGTGGTGGGTTGTCAGCTCCCGAGTGACTGCCACCTCTGTCTCTGAGGCAGAGGGTGGAGGCAAGCGCGGGCAGGTGGCTCTGACAGCACTTGCATTGGGTCACGTCACTCAGGCCCTGCCCACCAGCCAGGGCGGCAGGCCATTCCCTAACTGGAGGCCAGAGGCGGCCCTGAGTTTCTTACAGGGACACTGGGGACTGTCCTGGGGAAACCCCATAATTTGTCTGGACCTTCAGCGGAAGACCCCCTGAGTCTCTCTCCTCTTGCCTCCCTGCCCCAGGTGGAAGAACTGAACAAGAAGCTAGCTGACCATGAGCAAGCCAGCAAGGTGCAGCAGCAGAAGCTGAAGGTGGGACAGCAGGGGATGGGCCTGCCATCCATTGGCTCAGGGGAGCAGGGAGGGAAGGCACCCTGGGCCTGGTAGCCTCAGGAGCCCCGCCTGTGCCTCTGCGAGCTCCTGAGGGAAGATGATCAGAGTGGCTCCCAACCCGCAGACCTTCACTGTCTGTCGCAGTAGCCACTAGCCATGTGTGGTTATTTAAATAAAAACTTTAGTTTCTCAGTCGTGCTAGCCACATTTCCACAGCTCAGTAGCCATGCGTGGCTAGTGGCTCCCATACTGGACAGGGCAGATCAGAACACTTACAGCATTGCAGAAGCTTTAGTTGGGTTGTGCTGTTTAATCTCAGGGAGTGAGTGTTAGCGACATTTAGTACTGCAGTGCAACTTAATATTCTTACTTTCCATGGTATAACCTTCTTTGGTTTAACATTTGCTTTTTTACAACTCTAGGCTTCACAGCTTTTAGTTAAGGGCAAAGGAACTTGGCCCCAGTGGCCCCAGGAGGGTCACAGGAGTTGGTGGGAGCTCAGAGCCGTTTGCCCAGCTCACTGCCATGTACTCCACACCATGTCACAGTCACGTTGATAAACAGGCTGAGTGCACTCCTCTCAGGGGCCTTCCCGCTGCCGGGAGATGAGGCGGTAAGGCTGGTTGGCCCTGTCCTGTGCCTGCCACAGACTTAGCACTTGCTGGTGCAAACTGCGGGTGGACAGAGAGGCTGCCGGAGGTCTTGCGCCCAAGGAGTCTGCGGTCTGTCTGGGAGGCGGTGCCCGCAGCATAACTGAGCCCACACTTGCTTTGGAGTCAGGTGGGCAGAGACTCAAATCTTACTCTGCTGTTCAGTCCCCATGACCAGTGTGCTTTCAGTTCCTGGACTCGGTGTCTTCATCTGTGAAGTGGAGCTAAAGCTAGTTCCCAGAGTGGTTTTGAGAAGTGAGTTCTCATGTCCTTAAAGAGTACACAAGCCATGTGCCTAGATCCCTGGTGTTCCTGGGGGTCAGTGCCTTTCCTCCCCAGGAGACTGTCCTCACGGAGGGAGGGTGAAGTAGTTTGTGCCTGGTGTCAAGGCAAAGGCAGGCTGCCAGAACTCTTCCAGAAAGGGCACTGGACAGGAAAAGCTCCTACAGCAGCTGGATTCTGAGGGGTGTGTGATGCTTAGGCTGAAGTTGGGAGGGGCCCAAAGGCCTGTTGTGTGTCCTCAGAGACTCTGCAACAGGAATGCAGGAATCTGAAAACACTGTGGAGCCTAGGAGGCTAGGGGTCGGTGGATTTGGGTGGGGCAAAGAGACCAGAGGCTATCAGCTTCTCTCGTCTTTCCAGGCCCAGGGCGGTGAGAGCCAGCAGGAAGTCCAGCGCCTCCAGGCCCAGCTGAGTGAGCTGCAGGCCCAGCTGAGCCAGAAGGAGCAGGCGGCTGAGCACTACAAACTGCAGGTGAGGAGCACGGCCCCTGCGCCCCCCACTTCTCTGACCCACCACCCACCCACCCTTCCACCAACCCACCCTTCCACCAACCCAGATGGAGAAGGCCAAGACTCATTATGATGCCAAGAAGCAGCAGAACCAAGAGCTGCAGGAGCAGCTGCGGGGCCTGGAACAGCTGCAGACGGAGAACAAGGGGCTGCGGGCAGAAGTGGATCGGCTGGGCCGGGAGCTGCAGCAGGCCGGGCTGAAGACCAAGGAGGCCGAGCAAGCCTGCCGCCACCTCACCGCCCAGGTGCGCAGCCTGGAGGCACAGGTGAGGCTCTGGCTGTGCTGACTCCCTCACCTCCGGCACACTGGCCTCCGGTGCCCTCCTCTCCTCAGCCACCCTGCGGAGGCCTGCCTTCACTCTCCCTCCACCCTCATTCCCAGGTTGCCCATGCTGACCAGCAGCTTCGGGACCTGGGCAAGTTCCAGGTGGCGACTGACGCCTTGAAGAGCCGGGAGCCCCAGGCTAAGCCTCAGCTGGACTTGAGTATTGACAGCCTGGATCTGAGCTGCGAGGAGGGGACCCCACTCTCTGTCACCAGGTCAGGGGGCACCCTTCCTCCCCCAGTCTGTTGTCTGCCCACTGTGATCAGGCAGCCTCCTGGGCACTGGGGCTGTGAGAGAGGAAGATGGGAACCCTTTGCCCTCTGGAAGCTTGTTCTTAGAGGAGGATGACGTATTAGAGGTGTTAGGCCAGATGCTTGTACTTAGCATAGTGGGAGTGAGAAGAAATGAGTGGTCAGAAGAGGCTTCATGGAGGCTGTCATTCCTGTTCTTGAGTCTTGAAAGAAACTGTAGGTGTGTGTCCCATGGACAGAGAAGAGTGATAACAGCAAAGGCCAAGAAGGAGCCTGGCTGGACAGTGAAGTAGGGAGGGTTTGGGCCCAGGCCCCTGAGGGCAGGCTGGACTCCCCACTGAAGGAGGCTGGCGTTTAGACCTGATCCTAAAGGCACTGAGGGGCCTCAGAAGGGTTTGCAGTTGAGCACATGGTCAGTTTTGCATCTTAGCCTACCTGTCCTGATAGGGAAAACAGACTTTAATGAGAGTAATAAGTGTATTTTTATGTTAAACGCTTACATGTGCCAGAGATACTGTTACATACACCTGAGAAATATGAATTCATTTATCCCGTAACAGCTCTCTGAGGTAGAGTCTATGATTATCTCCTTTCACAGAGGAAACTGGGGCAGCCCGGGGTCCCACAGTGGCAGGGCTAGGCTTGACCCCAGGCAGCCTGGCTTGAGTCCTTGCTTGTCACCACCGTGTGTCTCTCAGAGGCTGTTGTAGTCGAGGTGAGAGGGGCGAGGCAGACAGGGAAGGAGAGGAATGGGGTGTGGTTGGAGGGCTCTTGGGTTTGGCAGGAAAGGGAAGAGATGGAGGCTGGCTGGAGGTTGCTCCCCCCAGCTTCGTGTTGGCTATAATAGGAAATAAAGGAGGAGGAACAGACGGTGGACTTAGTTTGGGACATATTGTTTTGGAGTCCAGAGGGCAGTCTGGGGCTGTGTCTGGGAGGGTCTGGAAAGCAGGGTCTGGGAGTTGCCTGTATTGAGCTCAGGGCACCATGGGGTGGTTGGGCTCACCAATGACAAAGGATGGAAGGCAGGGCCCCAGTCAAGGACTCTTCTTGGTACCTCCAAAAAATCAGAGGGTGCGGTGCTTGACCTGGTGGTCTTGTAGTAAGTGTCACTGGAACAAAGGGATGGACAAAATGTGTAGCCCCAGGAATGGCGCCTCAGCAGCTTTTTCCCCACAGCAAGTTGCCTCGCACCCAGCCGGATGGCACCAGCATCCCCGGAGAGCCAGCCTCCCCCATCTCCCAGCGTCTGCCCCCCAAAGTGGAGTCCCTGGAGAGCCTCTACTTCACGCCCATCCCTGCTCGGGGTCAGGCCCCCCTGGAGAGCAGCCTGGACTCCCTGGGGGACATCTCCCTGGACTCAAGCCGGAAGACCCGCTCCGCTCGTCGGCGCACCACGCAGATCATCAACATCACCATGACCAAGGTCAGCAAGGTCCGGCTGCTGGGAGTGAGGCTGTAGGACAGCACCGCTTGCTTCCTCTCTAGGGCTTCTCTCCACCAGGTCTCCAAAACTGCCTCCGAGGGGCAGGGCTGACTGGTCCACACCCGCGGACGAGAGCAGCAGAGCGGTGACTTGCTTTGGACTCCTGTAGAAAGGGGCCGGGCTGACCTCGGCTGCCTGTCCCGACAGGCCACCGTGCTCTCTGTGTACAATAGCGACCCTGTGCAGGCTCAAGGGGACAACGCAGAGAAGCCGCCCAGCCTGTGCCTCCCGGCACGCGCCCAGGGTGACAGATGGTTGTGCTGCCCAGGGGGCTGCCTGCCTGCCTGGGGCTCTGGTCCTTGTTTCCACATGCCCAGGAGGTTGGGAAAGAGAGGAGAGGAGTACTTTAGCTACTAAGAAACTGAAGTTCTAAAAGACGGTCCCCTGGTGCGCTTGGTCAGAGGGACCTGTGGGACAAGCCTGATGTGCTGAGGAGATGCGGGGTCCAGCCCCAGCTCTGTGACCCTCAGGCCAGTCCTTTCACGCCCCTGTACCTCACTTCTAAGATAGCCTGAGGCACTTGGCTCAGCCTCCCTCAGAGCATTGTTAATAGACTCAGCGGAACAATGGACGGGAGTCCTGACAGCCTCAGCATCTAGTGTGGGATTAACAAGGCCCATTTCTTGCAGACGGGCAGCTGAGGACCCCGTGCAAAGCAGTGTGGACACGGGCAGCTGTGGGATCTGAGGCGCTTTGGGAAAGGAAATGGGAGGCTTTTTTTTTTATGTTTATGTATTTGGCTATGCTTGGCAGGGGGCCTTAGTTGCAGCAAGTGGGATCTAGTTCCCTAACCAGGGTCGAACCCCCCTGCACTGGGTTCAATCTTACCTGGTGAGCACCAGGGATGTCCCAGGATGTCAGGGCCCACCCCCACTGCAGCAGATGTGTCCTCTCTTCCAGAAGCTGGATGTGGAGGATCCAGACAGTGCCAACTCCTCCTTCTATAGCACACAGTCAGCCCCTGCTTCCCAGGCCGGCCCGAGAGCCGCCTCCTCCACCCAGTCTCTAGCCCGCCTGGGCTCTCCCGATGACGGCAACTCCACTCTGCTCAGCCTGCCTGGCTACCGGCCCACCACTCGCAGCTCCGCCCGCCGTTCCCAGGCTGGGATGTCCAGTGGGGCCCCTCCAGGTGAGGGGACTGTGGGGACCTGACACCCCGGAACATGAAACTGGACAAATCTTGGCACGGCCAAAGGACAAGCCGCGATCCAGCACCCACCCCTCTCCTCCCTGCCTGCTGTTCACCCAGGGGCTGTGCTAGGCAGTAAGGCTGACGTCATTCTCAGCCAAACGCTTCACGTGGGGCTGGGATTCCCCACCCAGGAGCGCTCCTGGCCCCTTCTCAGGTTGGGAGGGGCTGCCGGGGGGCCAGACTGCCTGGGATCTATCCTCAGATTCCTTTCTGAGGCTCTTGCCTTCAGGGAGTGCTTTGGGTATGGATTCCTGGCCCTCCATTAGTTTCTTCTGGTGTCACAACCTCTGCATGGGACCCCAGGGAGGAGGCTGGGAGCCAGTCCCCAGGGAAGAGATGGTTGTGAGCCACATGCCCGTAGCTGCAGCATGGACAAGAGCAGGACCCTGGGGTGCTGCAGTTCAAGGGCCAGGAGGATGGGAGTGGTGGCACCAAGGCTGGCGGGGTGCTGCCTCCACCCTCTCGTGCTGGCCTTGCAGCTCTGCTTGTTGCTGTCTCCCTGCCACCCCACAGGCAGGAACAGCTTCTATGTGGGCACCTGCCAGGATGAGCCTGAACAGCTGGATGACTGGAACCGCATTGCAGAGCTGCAGCAGCGCAACCGAGTATGCCCACCGCACCTGAAGACCTGCTACCCTCTGGAGTCCAGGGTGAGCTCTGGGGTCCCCTGCCAGGGACCCGCCCCTGCTGGCTTCCCTCTTCCTCCTGGACATCCCTCCCCAGTTTCCCGGCCTGCCGAGGAGCGGGGCCTGTTTCTGGTCAACTAGCGGACAGGGAGGAACTTGGGAGGAGGTTCTGTGGAAGGCAGGAGTTGCAGAGGTCTCCAGGGATGGCTTCTGAGGCTGTGGCGCAGGACGTGGGCAGGAAGACAACAGGAGGGAAGCCGTTTGCAACAGGAAGGCTCCAGCTGCCCGACCAGTGAGGAGTTCTAGGGCAGTCCTGCTCCATCTCCAAACAGCTCGGGTCCACCGACCGTTTCTACCCCACACAGCCTTCCCTGAGCCTGCCTGCCATCACAGACGAGGAGATAAAAACTGGCGACCCCCGGGAGACCCTGCGCCGAGCCAGCATGCAGCCAACCCAGATAGCTGAGGGCGCCGGCATCACCACACGGCAGCAGCGCAAGCGGGTTTCCTCAGAGACCCACCAGGGTCCCGGCACACCCGAGGTGGGTGACTTGGGACTTTTGTCACCTCTGGCGGCCGCCACGTTTTCAAGTCTATAGCGGGGAGTCTCCTGGTGCAGGAGGGAGGCAGGTGCTGGCTGGACACGGTCCACTTGTCTCTTGTGCTCTCAGCCTAACTGTTCTCTTCCCCATAGTCAAAGAAGGCCACCACCTGTTTTCCGCGCCCCATGACCCCCCGGGACCGACATGAAGGGCGCAGACAGAGCACTGTTGAGGCCCAGAAGAAGGCAGCTCCAGCTGTGGTTAAACAGGTGAGCCAGGGGCTGAGGGAGAACCTGGAGGGGCCCAGGCAGCTGAGCGGCCAGTGGTGGCCCGGTCTGACAGCCCTTCCCAACAGGCTGACCGCCGCCAGTCTATGGCCTTCAGCATCCTCAACACACCCAAGAAGCTCGGGAACAGCCTTCTGCGGAAGGCAGCCTCGAAGAAAGCCCCCTCCAAAGCCTCGCCCAACCCCCGCAGCGGGACCCGCCGCTCTCCGCGCATCGCCACCACCACAGCCAGCGCCGCCACTGCTGCCGCCATTGCTGCTGCCACCCCCCGGGCCAAGGGCAAGGTGTGGGCACTGACAGGGAAGGGGGAGGGTTAGGCTCCTAGAAACCCAGTGAGGAGCATGGGTGACCCCCACCCAACCACCCAGGGGCTCCTCCTAGGCAGGCCGAGTAGGCCCCTGGAGGGCGAGGGCTGAGAGCAGGTGCTCCCCTATGGTTAGCTGCTCCTCATCGAGGAAAGCAGAGGATAAAACACCCAGAGCTGCTTAGGTGAAACCAGCCCCTGCAAACCTGCGGTAGATGGGTCCAGGGCTGCAGCAACGGGACCACCCTAGTCTGGGCATGTGGGAGCAGGAGGGGACGCAGGCTGGCACTGAGCAGCTGTCTCCGTCTCTTCCAGGCAAAGCACTGAAGAGCCAGTACCAGTGAGTGGCCCCACCTGTGTCCTGATACTGCCCTCGCCTGGTCCTCCTCCTCCTGTCCCTTTCAGTGCCTTCTCTCAGCTCCCAGGCCCAGTGGCCAAAATCCTAGAGACAGTGATGCCTGCCCACACCCTGGCCGGGACCTGGCCCATCCCCAGGTGAACAGGTGTGCCCTCAAGGGTGGCCCAGAGCCTGGGCAGTCTGGGTCCTCTCCCTCTTTGCCTCCTGATGTTCTCCTAGAGTAAAGTCACTTCTCCATCGTAACCAGATTTGAGGCTGGCTTTGTGTGGCTGGGTCCTTGGGCCTAGCCAGTCCTCCCAGCCTCTGGATCTAGAAGGGACCATTGGAGGAGCAGGCCCTGGTCCCTGCTGCTCCTGGCCGCTGGGCCTTGCAAGGGCCCTTGCTCTTGAAGTCCAGGACTGGGCAGTGGCCCAGTGGGAGCACCCCACCCCCAGGTGTACCCATCCACCCAAGGACCCAGGTGCCCAAAGGATGCTCTTTTCCAGGAGAAGGGCCCTGCACCTTGGGGGGGGGGGGGGGCAGCCCTCAGTGGCAGCTCCCATCGCCCACCCTCCCCAGATTTGCGCTGGGGTGGGATTTGGAGTGATGGGAAGGTTTTTAAGGGCCAGAGATGGATCTTTTCTAAATGTTATTACTTGTAAATAAAGTCTATTTTTTCTCCCTTGAATGCTGAGATGCCTCGATCTGTGTGGGGGAAGCAGGGAAACTCCAGACCACCTACCTTCTCTCAAATCCCTTCTCCTAGCCTTTCTGAGGCCACAGGATCTTCCCCCGTTTCTGACCTCTGCTCCTGAGGAGCGTTACGGGCTGGCCTCTTGTGAGGGCCTGTATCCCTGAATCTGGTTTTGTCTTCAGCTTCATAGTGGCATCTTCTCTCATTCCATACTCCCTCCTCGCACGAGCCGTGTTCTGTGGTGGAACGACGGCCTAAAGAATAAGTGACTGGACACACGTCAGATGCTGCCATTGAAGATGGTTTATGAATGCCCGCCTTGGGCCTTGCTGGGGTGACAGAGATACAGCTGTGGGTCAGAAGCAGCCTCTGCCCGCATCCCAGGAGCCCATAGAGGAAACAAATACATTAAATTGATGCAGACTGGCCTGGACCTCAATAAAGAGGTGGTGTTTGAACCAGGTGGTGGTGGAGCTCTGGGTTCACTGTCGGGATGGTACGGCAGAGGGGCCTGGCTGGAGGGTGGGGCTTCCTGTGGCAGGGGGCACACTTGTCTTCGGCCCAGCCTGGGGGAGTGAAGCAAACAGGATCAGGGCCAAGGTGGGAAGAACTTCCCTCTAGGCCATGTATCTCCTGCCTGAGTCCTGGTCCTTTTAGTTGCCACCTCAGGCTCAGGCAATCAGTGGACATCAGCTGGAGGATGCTATGAGCAGAGCCCACCCTTTCCTTCCTCCACTGAAGCAGGGCTCCTTATGTCCTGGACGCCCTCCCTTGGGTTCCTCACCCAGAGCTGGGCCAGGACAAGGTGACGCTGGACTGTCTGCCCAGGATCCATGAGAACACAGGAGAAGTTGGTATCTCGCAGGGCAGGGCTCAGCTCCTCCAGCACCAATGGTCTCCACAGCTGGGTCCACGTGCCCCTATACTCTCGCCTGGAGCAGAGGAAGGAAAGGCTGTGAGAGGACCGCAGCAAGCAGCCTCCCCCCAGCCAGTCTCACCACCGCGCCCTCACCTGGTGGTGCCCTCCCGCAGCCGGCCTGGGAGGTGCTCGATGAAGGAGCCGTTGCCCAGCCAGTAGAGGATGTTGAAGTGGGGGAAGCGGCTGCAGGCGGTACAGGACAATGTCAGCGTTCCATCTGGGGGCACATGTGGCTGTTAGTCCTTCTGCAGAGCAGACCCTCCCACCTCCGCCATGGTCTGCCCACCCTGTCCCATGATTCAGGAATCTGGAATGGGAAGTCCAAGGAGAAGGCTGAGCAAGAGGAATCTGGGGATGGGTCCCTCATCTGGGTCCTTGACGCCTGAGCTTGTTTCTTCAGAATGCCCCAGGGTTTCTAGCACCCAGCTTCAGTGACTCTAGGAGCTTTGGCCAAGGAGGCAGCACAGTAGGCAATCGCTCAGCTGAGAAGGCCAGAGGGCAAGTGGGCCCTGGGAGGAAGGGCTGGGCTTGCAGCCACCTCAGTCAGGGCTCTGGGAGTCCTCTGTTCTGAGGCCTCTCCATCCCACGTGACAGCATCTTGGGAGCTGTGAGCTGAGCCCTGCACCAACTTGCGATGCCGGGTGGGAGAGGGAGAATGCCCACTGCTCAACCGAGCTGCTTGGTTGGTGACAGGCTACGTGGCAGAAGATTGGGGGCTGCATGCTCAGAGGCCAACCCACCCTTGGTGTCACTGTGCCCTCCCATCCCATTAGAATAGCTCCTTACTCAGTGAGACTTCCACTGCTGGCCAGGTCACTGTCAACGCTGGGCACTGCTTAGCTGCTGGGAGTGCTGGGGGCCGCGAGGAGCAGGGATCCTTTGCCATCCCAGGTGAGGCAGCTGTGGTGGCCTGAGGCACAGGTGTGGCTCCGGCCAGGTGGGAGATGACGTGGGCACAGAGGAGCAGGGCCCGAAGAGGGCTAGGGTCTGAGGAGAGGACAGTCAGAGGTCAGCAGCTGTCTGACCTCCTGGGACTGCTCGGCATCCCAGCTCTGCTCTTACTTGGAGATGGAGCCGCTGCCAGGATTAAGTCTGGCAGATTCTTGGCTCTGCTGCGAAAGGGTGGGGCAGAAGAACCCCTCCAGCTATAGCTCTTGGCTCTCTGAATGGAGCAGAGGGAGACCCTGGAATGGAGCCAGAGCGCAGCATCCAGAGGCTGAAAGTCACAGCACAGCAGCTGAGGGGACCCACCTGGGGTCAGGCTCCTCTCTGGTCTCAGGCTGCACCCCACCCCCTCCACCCGTACATGCACAGCCCCAGGGCCCACCTGGAATCCAGCTGTGTCTCATGGTCATGCTGAACTGTGTCAGGAGCTGCCGTGCCTTGCTCTATATATCTGTGACAACTTCCTCTCTGGGGAGGCGGGGGAGGCAACCGTGACAAACGGCTTCTCCTACAGATTCCAGGCACAAGTAGTACGGCCTTTCTGTGGTCTCCACAGCCCCTTCCTACGTCTGAGTTTTCAGGGGGCTGCCAGGCACTGTCCACTCTGCCCCGTCCACCTGTCCCAACTGACAACTCCTGGAGGACCGGTATCAAGCACAGGCTCTTCCAGCCCCTAGAAACAAAGCCGGCGGATCCCCACCCTAGCTCTTCCTACCATCAACATTATACTCATCACTAGTGCAATCAAATGCTTCATTACAGAATGGAAACTGAGGCCCAAAGAGGACCAGGGACTTACCTAGTCACAAAGGGAGGAAAAATTCTCTCCGCTGCCAGAGCTGTTCTGGGAAGGGCAGGATAGATAGTGAAATCCTTCTGGGAAAGCACTGCCTCCTCCTCCTATTTTACTTTCACTTTTATTTAAGCAGGGGATCTAGAGCAGGCTCTGGCCACCAGCAGACACATGTACTCCACAGCAGTCTGCACCCAGTCCTGAAGGTCCCTGCACACCGCGCCTTCTACTAAGCTGGAGCTCACCGTGGCCGGGAACCTTCTCACTCACTCCCAGGCCCCCTGCTCTTCAGGTGGTATCAGCCTGGGGTCTTCAACCATCCTCAGCCTCACCCTCCAAGCACAGGGCCATGAACTAATGAAAGTCTCTCACACACGAATTCTTCTATCCCAAGACTCTGCCCTTCTATGTGAACAGAAAAGTCCTCCTGCTTCTTCCTTCAGTCACACTATATTCAAGGGGACAACTGTCTGAGGCACTGGGGACCCAAAGTTGGATCAAGTGGACCATTTCAGACTCACACCAACCCATCCACATCTTGGCCTTTCTCAGGCTCCCCACTCCCTCCACCCAACACCCGCCCCTCACCCCCATGAATCCTTCTTACTTCTGTCATCCCAGCTCCTTGGCCAGAGGAGCTAGAGATCTAAGCTCATCAGGAAGTCTAGTCTCCCCCTGCCTGGCTCCCAGGAAGCCCTGAAGAGCCCTGTTTTCTGGAAGCCGCCCCTTTCGGAGCTCCCCAGCTCAGTTCGGCTGTGTCTGGCCCCACGTGAGCCCCACCGTGGGAGCTACACATCCCGGCCTCCACAGGAACCTCTCAGACAAGCTTGGAACACAAGCCGGAGCACTGGCCTTAAGGGGAGGAGAGGATGCTTTCCAGGGAAGAGTGGGTACATCCAGCACTGGCTGGAGCAACAACAGAGCTACAGAAGTCAGGGTCACACATGTGGCCTCAGGGGCAGAGAGACCAGGGCTGGTGATCCACGGAGCAGGTATGAAGGACCAGACCTGAGTGTCTGGGATCAGGAGGATGGGGTCCTGGAGACAGAGCCAGGGAGGCCAAGAGATGGAATGAGGTTTGGAAGAATCGTCAGGAACATGGCTGCAATCTCAAGGGGTGTGTGTGTTGTGTGTGTGTTTGTAAAAACCATACATGTCCAATTTAGATGTCAGAGACTAAAAGTCAACTCCTCTTCTCCAGGGCTCCAGCTCACATCTTCTCAGTCCCTCCCCCACCGCCTGCCCAGGAGCTTCTGGGCTGCAAGATGCAGAGAAGCTCCTCCCTAGGAGCACCAGTGTCTCCAGCAGGGAGGTCAGGAGGCAAGACTGTTGGGGCTTCTGAGGCCCAGTCCTCTGGGGAAGAAGGTGGGGATGCGAGGGAGAGGAGACAGGACTCTTACCTGTGAGTGTAAATAAGGCCAGAGTTGGGCTGCTGGGAGGTCATGGTACTCAGGACTGTTGAAGGATGGAGAGAGAGACTTGGAGAGCCTGGCCTTGGCTCCTCACATGACCTGATGTGGAGGGGGGATGTTTATTCACTAAGTCATGTCTGACTTTGTGACCCCCTGGACTGTAGCCCACCAGGCTCCTCTGTCCATGGAATTCTCCAGGCAAGAAAACTGAAGTGGGTTGCCATTTCCTTCTCCAGGTGATCTTCCCAACCCAGGGATCGAACCCGCATTTCCTGCATTGCAGGTGAATTCTTTACCGCTGAGCCACATTAGGGAAGCCTTAATGTGGGGGAAGGAGGGACAAAAGTGAAAGGATGACCCCAGGCCCCAATCCACTGAGGACAGGCCCATGGGCATGAGCGGCATGTTGGGCAAGCCACAGTTGGGTAAGAGAGTGACTGGGGAGAGGGGTGGTTGCAGCAGGGCACTGACCTCAGGTCGTGAGGACAGTCACCCTGTGATGAACCAGGGCCCCTTCTGCGACAGGACAGAAGCCCAGCAGGCCATCTCACTCAGGAATGTTGGACAGGACCCACCACTTGCAGGACCCAGCTCTCAAATCGGAAGAGCAAAAAGGAAGCAGAGGCCAGGCAGGCCTGGGGACCACAGGGAAAGAGGTGGGAAGAAGAAAAGCAAGATGGATGTTCAGCTTTCCAACCCAGCTCATGGAGCTTTATTAAGAACAGATGACAAGATCCTGCTTGGTTCCTTCTGCACCTGAAGGGCCATATTCCCTAGGAACCCAGCGTGGAAAGTCCAAATTTGCCTTCCTACTTCCTTCAAAACCCCTAAGACCAGAGCTGGGGCCTACCTGAAAGCCCTGTTCAGACACCATACTCACCTGGCCCTGACCCTCTTCCCAGCCACCCCAGCACTCGTGCTGCTGGGCCCAGGCAGAACCCAGGGATGACTGGGCTGACAGGATATTCCTTGAGCTGGGAATCCCCTGGCAGCTTCAAGGGAAGAACGTGTGACTACAGGAAGAAGTCTCACGTCTTATCAGTCCCTCCACCGCAGACACACGGACACACACACTCACTCGGGCTTGCAGGGAAGGAAGTGATGTGGCAGTGGCATTCGGCACATGTCACCACTTCTGGGCAGAGCGTCAGCTTGCACAAGTGGCCCTCAATCACTGCTCTGTATAGATGGTCTCTGTTCCTGACTGAGTAAGCCCTGCTTAGGGGCAGGTTCCCCAACAAATTCTCAGGGAATTCCGAGGTCAGGGCTTCCCTCACTGGAAAAGCCATGACAGGGTTTCACTTGCCTCCACCAGCCTATGGCCCCCGAGCAGGGAAGGCCCGCCCATGGTCTTAACCGGGAGGAAGGACAATTCACCCCAGTGCTCTTCAGTGGCACCGGCCACAGTTCTCTGGCCCTTCCTCACTGAGTGAACCAGGCTCGAGCCCCACGCATGGAAGGAAGAGGGGGGCAGGGCCTGGGACTCACAGCCAGAGGTAAGATGGCTCCTTTACATCAAAAGTGTTGTGGCTCTGCTCCTGCCCTGCTCAGGCAGGGAGGTGAGGCCTGGAAGAACTGGGGCAATTCCTAAGCTCCACAATAAAAAAGTTTTTTAAATATATTCATCAAAATAGTTTTCTTTTAAAAAGCCCCCACTGCTGACAGCCCCACTGGCTGGCTCTCCATCACCTCCCTCCCCAGCCCGGACACAGCCGGGGGAGTCCTGAGTGGCCCAGTGCCCCTCTGAGTCTTTCCCACCCAGGAGGTCTTGGAAGGCAGGGAGGAGAGTGCCCTGAGGTCCATGGTGGGTGGATGTTCTTCTTCCTGACTATTCCAGGCCCAGAATATAGTTGATGCCTTGCACCAGGCCAATGATGACAGGCTGCCACGCTACCAAGTACCGAAGCCAGTCCAGCAGTTGCCCGTACATGACATGAGGCCTCTCCCAGCTGTCAGTGTGTTAAAGAAAAGAGGCCACATGTTCGAGACGCTGAGGCTGGCCTAGGGGATGGGTGAGAGGGTCTGCCTACACGTTCCAGATGCTTCACAGAAATCAGCCTACAAAGAAAGGTGCTTTCTAGAAAGCCCCGCCCAACCTCTCTGTGTTGGAACACAGGGCTGAAACCAGAGAATGGGGGAAGTGGGACAGAGTGGATCAGTGCAGAGGACCGGACAGGTAAGGCAGAGGGTGGAGTGGTGAAATGAAGTTCTCCATGGCCAATAGACAGAGAGGGCTCTGTGTGAACCCCTCTCTAAGCTGGGACTGCCAGTGAGCCTGAGACTGCTGTAGATTTCTCACGACAATGGCTTTGGGAAGATGGGGAAAGAGATAAGGTAATCTGAAGGTTCTTGTCCAAAATGGGAAGTTTTCCAGGTCAAGGAAGGGGTTGAGTGTGGGGACAGAGGCATACAGGGGCAGAGCAAGAGGCTGGTCACAGGGGATAACTCCTGGTAGAGAGGCTCCAAGGAGCCCCGTCCATGGGCATTGGACATGGGGCCCCTACTGAGGCCAAGTGGCCCTGGAGAGGAATCCCTTCTCTCCACTTTACAATCCACTGCCGGGAAAGACACTGGAGAGAGAGCCTGGGAATCCAGCTCCGTGGAAGCACAGACCTCACAAGACTGTGGGGAGTCCCTCTGAGGGCATTAGGAACCACAGTCCAGCCCAGTACTGAGAACAAAGAGAAGCCCCGACCCTCAGCTTGACCATGGAGTTACTGAACTAGACTCCAAAAGCACCAAGCAAGGAACCATAAAGAGGAACACCGTGGCCCTCCAAAGCCCAGCTAGTATCCAGGGGCCAGGAAACCCCCATGCAGAGAGAAAGGGCAACTGGGAGAGGTCCCTGGATCCAGGGGAAATGGGGCAGGGGCAGCTGAGAGCAGTACAGGTCCTGTGTTCAAAGCGGAGGGGACAGGCCTGGTCTCTAGCCCCGCCTGTCATAGGTGAGGCATCGCACATTAGTTATATCACCGTGAGAAGGTCAGTCATCCTTGAAACTGTTTCACTGGTAACATGAGGATACTATCACCCAGGTCACAGGCTCTAGAGAACTGAGTGAGCGCAGAGAAGGAAAGCACCTGGCACAGTGCCACCAGGTGCATAGTAAGCAGGCAGGTGGAGGAAGCTGCCCTCACCGCCCATCTACCCTTGAGGGATCCTGAATGGTGAGGAGAAGCTGAGCTGTTGGTCCTGCCCCACATCCTACCCACCTCCCTAGACCACAAGCCAAATGGACTGGTGGGCAGGTACAAGACTGGGGGCAGGAGGAGCACCCCAAGACCCACCTGAATGCATGCCAGTACTTTCTCACCACTGCCCACTCCCAACGAGACCCCAGAAAGGATACGGGTTACTGAACATCCTCTTGAGGTCCACCTTCTCTTTGCAGTAGGGACACGTCTGCTTCTTTCCCACGATGCACCAGCCGCGGATGCAGAACTCGTGGAATCTGAGCACCATGGGTCAAGGGAAAGGGTGGGCAGCGAGGATGGCACTCCAGCCCCGAGACGGGCTTCCCGGTGTCCAGGCCCTAGCTCTGGAGGGAGGTTCAAACCCTGGCTTCACCTCTTACCGGCTGTATCATCTGGGCCAAGCTGATGTATACCTCTGGCCCTGCTTCCTCATATGTAAGTGAGGTTAATGAACTCTGCCTTACAGGGACTCTCTGGGCAAAATGGAGAGCACACGGCATAGGATGGGAGCCGAGTGAGGACGTGGTAAATGTCAGAGGTGCCCTTCAGGGGCACCTGATTCCAACACTGAGGGAGCCAGTTAGAGGATGCTCCTCCCTGGTGACTGACCCAAACTTGCAGCAGCTAGTGTAGCTGAGGCTCCCTTCTGACCTGGCCAGGCTATACACGCTGTTTACGCAAGAGTGGCTCCCATCTGTGAGAAAGACCAAAGGAGGCAGCCGTTTCCATTCCCTGGGATTGGCTTCCCTATCAGAAGACATCACCCAGATGTGACTCCCCTCCCTTCAAAGGTCTGGATGGCATGCCCAGGGTCATGACGGTCCCTTCCCTCCCTGACTGGAGCATGCACGTGGTGAGAAAGGCAGCCCAGGAGCTCCAGGCAGGATACACGTGATTGCAAGACAGCCTGTATGTGTTCTCGATGATGCCTTCTTCACTGACATCCACAAAGATCTGCTGCCCACACACAGCACACACACTGTCCGAGAGGTGCTTGGTGGGCATGCCTGACTCGCTGTAGAACTGGGAGAGAAGAGGAGGAGGAAAAGACAGAAAAGACGTGAGAATCAACCAAAGTGGGACGATAACAGCGAGGCCTGGGGTCTTCTTGAGAGAACGTGACACGGCAGGTAGAGGATCCCGAGCTAGAGAGTATCTCACTGTCAATCATCCTCATCTCTGTGGGGCAGATGGGGACTAGACCAGAGATGGGCTGGGAAGTCAGATCAGACAGAATCTGAAGACTGGTCTGGTCAGCATTAGGGCAAGGAGACAGGCAGGGAGAAGGGTTCAGGGCTGCTGACAGGGAACGACGTCAGCTAAGCCACTCTGTGGCCACACTGTGGTTCCCTCAGATGGGCAACATCTCTTCTCCAAGACGCACACCAGTGAAACACCTGGTGCAATGGTGGTTGGGTGACAAGGACATTTTCAGGCACTTGTGGCAGCAGTAAAACAGCTTCAACCCATCTGAACAGCATTTGGCATGATGTCTCAAACTGCCACACCATTTAATCCATTAACTTCACCTTAAGAAATTCAAAGAAATTTCTTTTAAAAAAATATCAAAAAAGCTTCATGCATACAGATACTCATTTAAATGTTAATTTATAACTAAAGAAGCGAAGAGTCTGGCAACCTCTCAAAAAGTTAAACATAGCAATACCATATGACACAGCAATTCCATTCTTAGATAATACTCCTGAAGAATAAAAACCAGGCCTAACCCCACACTTGTACACCAATGCTCATTTAGCAGCATTAATCACAAATAGCTAAAAGGTGGTAACAGCCCAAGTGTCCATCAACAGAAGAATGGATAGACAAAATGGGGTCTATCCCTCCAGTGAAATGTTACTCAGTCACAAGAATAATGAAGTTCTGATACATGCCAAAACATGCAGGCATTTTGGAAACATGCTAAGTAAAACAAGTCAGACACAAAAAGATAAACATTGCACTGATATATGAGTCTATTTCTATAAAATATCTAGAATAGACAAATTCATGGACAGAAAATAGAACAGAGGTAACCAGTGGTAGAGAGGAGGAAATGGGTTATTGTTTCTGTTTGGGATGATCAAAAATTTTGGAAATAGCACACTTAACAATGGCTAAAATGGTGAGGTTTATGCTATATATATTTTCCCAAAAAAGCAAAAAAAAAAAAAAAAAAAAAAGCAAACAAAAACAAGCAAAGAAATGGAAAGAATGATAAATGACCAACAACAGAAGGATGCTTCAATAAATTGTGGCACCCACTCAAGGGGCTAGACAGGCAGTGAGTCAACTGAAGCTTGAGATACAACATTAAGTGTCAAAAGCAGGGTACAAAATTGGAGGCACAGTACTGTTGGTACCATATGTAAAGTCAAGCAAGCAAATCAATCAAAAGGTCAGAAGGAAATGTATGAGAATATTCACGCCAGTGATGTCTTGGTAGTAGGATTATAAATGGGTGTTTTTTATTTTGCCCACTTTTCTGTACTCAAATTTTCCTTAATGAACATATATAATAGGCAAACCTCAGAGATATTGTGGGTTCCATTCCAGAACACCACAATAAAGTGAGTCACACAAATTCTTTGGTTTCCCAGTGCATTTAAACGTTATGTTTCTACTTACTACTAGGTGTACAATAGCATTATGTCTAAAAACCCAACTATGACAGGAACATCCAAGACCACAGGTCACCATAACAAATAATAATGAAAAAATTCAAAATATTGCCAGAAGCACGAAAATGTGACACAGAGACACAAAGTGAGCAAAGGCTGTTGGAAAATGGTGCTGACAGACTTGCTTGATGCAGGGGTGTCATAGACCCTCAATCTGCAAAAAGCAAAACAAAAAACTATCTGCGACGTACAATAAAGCAAAGCACAATAAAAAAAGGTATGCCCATACCTTAAAAGATTATTTATTACCATGATTAATCACAGTGAATGAGCAACTCCATGCTCCAAAAAGAAACTCAAAATTTTGCATACTTTCCGTGTGGTTTATTATTCAATAGCTACATAGCATTTCCCCTTGATCCCAAGAATAAAAGACTTGAATTTTATTTGTTGAAACTGTTGTTTTTTCCTTTTCATTGTCTTAAAAATGATGGTAAAACACACATAATATAGAATTTACCATCTTAACTATTTTTAAGTATACAGTTTGGCAATGTCAGTAAGTATATTCACACTGATCTGCAGCTCATCTCCAGAACTTTCACATCTTGCAAAACTGTAAAATTAATTCTTTAAAAGGCTTCTGTATTTATTATTACAACTGGATCTGTACCTATAAAGGTAAATAGATTATACTTAGCCTTTTTTGTACTGTTATTTTCCTAACTTGAGTTTGCTCTGTTTTTTGTTTCCAAGCAACTGTCTTCTGAAAACTTCACAGACTGTTAGCTGGTTGAGGGACAACAGTGGAAGAAGGGTGGGCATGAAGGAGCTGGGACAGGGAATAGGGAGGACACAGCTATATCTGCCACAACCTCCACTCCACACGGGGCTTCTCTGACTTCAAGCAGCCCTTATGAGAAATGGCCTCTCCTGACTCCCAAAAGTCCTCAGGGATAGAAGGCAGAGAAGACCCAAGAATCCATGAATATAGTTTCCTGCCTTCAACCCTCCCTCACCATCTTGCAAGAATGTCTGAAGTGGCCCAAGGTGAGCTTGTTACTGTCACAGAACACCAGAGCAGCCCCATGGCTGGGGAAACCAAAGCCCAGAAAGGAAAGAAACTAACTGTGATAAGAACCCAGACCCCCTGACTCCTAACCCAAGCCCTACCCAAGACGTCCACTGACATCTGAACACTGCAGAAATGCAGCTACTTAGCTCAGTGAGGGCCAATAATTCAAAAGGTTCTGATTTGTGTATCAAGGGTGCAAAAGGATAAGTGAGAGTTAGGGTAAAGCCAAACCCATGGGAGCCCACTAGCAGCATTTCTCCAAAGCAGGAATCTGAATGTTTGTGCTGAGGGGACCTCTGAGAGAGACTCCACCAGAGTTCAAGAGGCTGATGGCTCTGAATGTGCCTGCCTGAGTATGTCTAGGCACATCAACTGAACAGTGAAAAGAGAGACCAAGAAGTGTGAGCCCAGCTCTGGCACCAAATCCTTGCACACTTGTGCAGCACAGAAACACCACCACTCACTCGAGCCCATGGCATTGGCAGTGAGAAAGGGGAACCCTCCAACTCAGGACAGGAGAGCTCTGAGGAAGAACTTAACCTCAAGCCACTCCAAGTTCTGCCCCAGGATACTGGGGCAGGGATATAGCATCAGACAGAACCTGCTGATGAGGTGATGAGGGTAGGAGGGACACCAAGGCAAAGTTCTATTAGGGCTCTAGCTTCTCCATTCTCCCTGCAAGCTAGTGCAGCTACAGGCCAGCAGGGTCAAATCCCACAATGTTTCAACAAACTTATCAGATGAGTCTATCAAGTCAGGAAGGTCCCAGCAACCAAGAGTTCACAGAGCCCCCTGAGACTGTATGAGGAGGCCTCCGGCTGAGTGAGGTAAAGTACAGGCAGGAAGATTCCGCTTTAACCTCAAGAGCCTGATGCCTCAGTGTGGAAAGCACTCCAGGGGCCACACAGTGGACAGACTGCACTTCCATCCTCTGTCACTTACTATCTTGATGATCTTGAGCAAGCCACTCAAACTCTTCTTTCCTTTCATCAGATATACTGGGTACCTACTAGGTACCAGTCACTGGACTAGCTCTTGCGCTAAAATGTTGGAAAAACACAGACCTGGCCTCTGTCCTCAGGAAACCTACAGCTAAGGGAGACTGGCATTTAATGGCCATACTACTCAAAGCAATCTACAGATGTAATGAGATCCGTATCAAATTACCCATAACATTTTTCACAGAACTAGAACAAATGATCCTAATATTTACATGGAACCATAAAAGACCCAGAATTGCCAAAGCAATTCTGAGGAAAAGGAACAAAGCAGGAGACATAATGCTCTCAGACTTTAGGCAATACTATAAAGCTATAGTAATCAAAAGTGTGCTATTACCACAAGAACAGAAATATATAGATCAATGGAACAGAACAGGGAGCCCAGAAAAAACCCACATATCAACGGTCAATTAATCTTCAACAAAGAAGGCAATAATGTAAAATGGAAAAAAGACAGTCTCTTCAGCAAGTGGTGCTGGGAAACCTGGACAGCTGTATGTAAATCAATGAAGTTAGAACACACCCTCACACCATGCACAAAAATAAACTCAAAACAGCTTACAGACTTAAACATAAGATATGACACCATAAAATTCCTAGCAGATATCATAGGCAAATATTCTCTGACATAAATCCTAACAATGTTTTCTTAGGTCACTCTCCCAAGACAATAGATATAAAAACAAACAAACAAAAAAAATGTGACTTGAACTTATAAGCTTTTGCATAGCAAAGGAAACCATTAAAAAAAAAAAAGACAACCTATGGAATGGGAAAAAATATTTGCAAATGATGCAACCAATAGGGCTTGATTACTAAAAAATACAAACAGCTCATACAACTCAAGAACAAAAAACCAAACAGTCCAATGGAAAAATGGGCAGAAGACCTTGACAGACATTTCTCCAAAGAAGATATACAGATGACCAATAGGTACATGAAAAGGTACTCAACACTGCTAATTATTAGGGAAATGCAAATCAAAACTATAATGAGGTATCACCTCACATCAGTCAGAATGGCCATCATCAAAAAAATCTACAAACAGTAAAAGCTGGACAGAGTGTGGAGAGAAGGGTAAGAATTACTGTTGGTAAGAATATAAATTGGTGCAATCACTAAGGAAAACAGTATGGAGGCTCCTCAAAAAATAAAACTAGAGTTGCCATGTGATCCAGCAATCTCACTCCTGGGCATATACCAGATAAAACTACAATTCAAAAAGATACATGCAACCCTATGTCCATAGCAGCACTATTTACAATAGCCAAGACATAGAAACAACCTTAATATCCATCAACAGATGAATGGATAAAGAAGATATGGTAT